AAACCATATAAAACCACCAAACATAACTGCAGTTGCATCTGGAGAAGAGAAAACCTGGGGACAGATAAAGAACAATTCTAATTAGCAAACAACAGTCTGTCAAAAATAAAAACTCACACCTGTAGCATTTTACATTTTGTAAAGTTCCATCACATATTTGGAAACTCTATAACAACCTCATATTTTATACATGTGTAAAGCTCAGTGATAAAGTGACTTAACCAACAAGAAGCAAGATTTAAATAGTTCAAGAACTTACCATATTAGCTATCTTTTCTATATAAGTCATATTTCAACCTAAATCTTTTGCAAACAATCTTATACAACTTGGTGTGGAAACTAAATACACCTGGGTAAGACACCCTGCATGTCATACAACTGGGTGCTGAACATTGGCATGTCACAACAGGTTACAGGTATGCCAAGATGCTGATCCTTTCCACCCTCTGGGGGGCTGAGGGAACCTGGGGCAGCCAGGGCCTTCAGACCAATTGCTACCAGCAAAGGCACTGTTCAGACTCCATCACATTATACATGTGCTATGGCACAAATATAGTTGGGAGGTACTACCACAGAAGTATTAACTGGATAAGAAAATTTAACTATGACAGCTCAGTTACCTGACAGTGACGTGGCACATTGTATTCAGGATGTCAGGATGGCTACAGCTATAAAATGATAAGACTACTCTACTGTGGGTTAAAGTACAGAATTGTAATACAGTTTACAAAGAAAGAAATACTTTGGCAATTTTTCTGTATCTAAAATAAGTAAGTCTTTCTAGTTCCTCACTATGTGGAAATCAAAAACCTGTTTTTTTTTTGTTTTTTTTTTTTTAAGTCCATTAAAGAATTCAAGCCAAGAGCAAGCAGTTCATTTCAATTGACAGAACACATTTTTTTTTCTGGGAAGATATTTGTCTCTGCTTCTTAGCATCACCTCTACTTGGATTGCCATTATGAGAATATATAATAATTTTTATACAATACTAAAACTGAACTCCTTGTCAGCTGAGCTCTATAAAACTAAGAAATTGTTATGAACTAACTTTATTATTTCTATATGGAAAAAATGCAAAACAAAATTCTACAGGATTACACATTTTTCAGCTCTTCAAACAAAGTGTCATACAATCTTGATTTAACATTCTTAGGCTTCAGTTACTTTATCTGATATTTGAAGATTACAAAGCCAACCAATCCAAGTGCTATTATAGGAATTGACTAAAAAAATAATAATATAACAAAGGCGTTAAGTGAAGACTAAGTATATTGGTGTAGGATATTTTCCCAGCTACCAAAAAACTAATGAGTTTGGCATTCTAGCAGTTGATAGAAAAATGTGTAGTCTTCCTGACATGCAAAGATAAAGGCATCAATAAAATGGGCATAGAAAAGTTTACAAACTTCAATCCAAAAGAGTAAACTTTCTAGTTTTATTTAATACATGTAAAAGAATGCTCTGCATTATGGTTTACACCTTACAGATCTGGGCAGAAGCTGAACCTTATAAAAGGAGAATGGTTCTCTGCAACTTTCTGCACAACAACCCTTCTCTGGGTCACAAGAATGAACCTGTGGAATCTAAAAAATAAGAACAGGATCTGGAAACTAGAATCAATGTTTGATCTTGGGAAAGATAATCAATATTTCATTACTTTAACTTCAATATGAGAATAATTATGCCCCCTAAAGAGTTGTTTTAAAAATAAACATACATAATTTTTAGAAGTATCAGATTTATTGTAAGCTCTACAGTGTTAGCTATCTTTAGTTTTCAATATTACCAAATTACATATACCCTGCTAACCCCTGGTAACTCCATACATATACCCCTGTGTAGCTACACTCAGCCTACAGACACAGAAATGCAAAATCAACTTTTTTCAAAATTAAGGTCTAAGCTTCCTTTACATTTCCTTAGTTTTTAAGCTAATGCTGGTTGCTGCTACAGGATACCACACTACATTCTGTCCGATGTACCCTTAGGCTATCCTTGGCTATGAGTTTCTCAGACTATGTTTTTGTTGATATTGAGAGTATTGAGGCATGCTGGTGAGGTATTTTATAGATAATCCCTCAGCTGAGACCAGCCTGATGTTTATCTCCTGGTTAGATGGGGTGATGGGATTTTTCAGGGAATGCACTACAGGGGGGTAAACATGAAGCTAACTGTTGACAATGACCTTAAGGATCTGGCTGAGGGAAGATGTCAGGTTTTTATACTGTGAAGTCAATTCTTTATCCTCCTTTCTGTACTGCACTCTCTGTAGGGAAGTCAGCAGGCTCAGCCCACAGTGGAATAGTTGGGAGTTATGTTTCACCTCCTTAAAGTATCTACATAAATTATTTGGAATTCATATGTAATAAAATGTCTATCTACCCTTGTTTCTATTTTTACTTATTTTTTTTGATATGGACCCATAGAAATTTATTTTATAGGTTTTTTTTTTTTCTAAACATGACCTTATTTTCTGGCACCACAGCATTCTACAGTGTATATTTTCTGCACTGATGCTATAATCAATACAATTTTTAAAAATATCCCTTTTAAAAAAATAGAGAATTGTATTTGAAACCAATATATAGGCACTAGGTATATTTGTAGGTTTTAAGCCCTCTCAGCAGAGCAAAAAAATACATGTGTTTATATTATTATTAGTTCTATAGACTCAATAATCTATTAAAAATAGGAATTATCACTATGATGCTCCTACTAAAGGGCACTTGTCAGTATATCAATATGTTCTTATAGGCACTAACTACCTCATAAAGCAATCATTTCCCATATTAGATATGAATTTAATTCTTAGCATATATCTTTGAATAACTTGTATTTATTTGGTCCCATTCTGACTACTAAAATAATATAAGACAAATTCTCTATTTGACATTAACTATTCTTTAATAAAACACTTTGTAGTACCAAACCTATCCAGGTTCCTTTGATGCTGCATTAACCAACCCAATTTTTATTCCTTTCTTCCCATGGCATAGTTTCCCAGTTCTTCTACAGCATGGTTGCTCCAAATAAACTTTAGTTTAAATTAACATGTAAAATTCAGATCCGAATACAATACTATAGAGATTTATCCATTTGACAACATACTTCCTTGTTAATCATTATATTTTAACAGTCAAGTCAGAAATCCTGCAGATTTCTCAAGCTCAAAATAGCCAAAACTAAATTTATCTTTTCCTTTCTCCATTATCTTCATCAATTTTGGCCTATATGACCAAAACAAAAACTGGATAAATAATAAATTTATTTCTTATAGTACTGAAGCCTGACATTGAAATGCTATCGTGGTCCAGTTCTGGTGAGGGCCCTCTTCCAGGTTGCAGATGACTGTCTCTCCCTATATCCTCATATGGCTAAAGAAGTGAGAGAAGTCTCTGGGGTCTTTTGTATAAGGGCCTTAATTCCACTCATAAGGACTCCAGCCTCATGACCTAATTACTACCAAAAGCCCAATGTAATAACACTATCATATTGGGGTTAGGATTTCAACATATGAATTTTGGAGGAGCACAAATATTCAATTCACACATTTATTTCTATACTTCATTATACTCCAACTACATTTCTCCTCCTAACTTTCCTATGTCAGTACCTAGACTAGTAATGCCTAGTTATTTGCTACTATCATGCATTCCCTCTCTATAGCATCCACTTATTAAAAATACTATGCAATTTAACAGTCCACATGTTCATCTGAACTGCTGGAATTTAAATTCTGGGTATGCCCTTACCAGGCAGGTGGCCTTTCACAAGTAGCTTATCCCCCTGCCCCCGTGCAACTCAAGTTTCCTAATTTGTAAAATGAAAATAAAAATAACACTTCACTCAGAATGCTGCTAGCAGGATTAAGTTAGTTCATATGAATAACTTAAAAAAAATGATCAGCCCATATCCCATAGTGAGTATAGAATAAATATCAGCTGGTATTGTCATTATTGTCAACTCCATAACATCTAACAGAACTCTGTTTTCATCATTATTATCACTGCCCATTATGTCCAAGCCCTTCATTATTCTCACCTAAATAGCTTCCAAACTGATATCTCTGCATCCCTTCTTGCCATATTCTTGTTTTTATAACTTGATGATATCATCTCCTAATTTAAAATGCTTTGCTACTATCCTTGGAAAAAAATTCAGATTGTTGAGCATAGCATACTAGACCCTAGATAATCCAGTAAATTTCCCTAGCCACCTTTATCCCCTCTAGTCTCCTAACATGAATGTTTGAGTCACATTAATTTATCCTGTTTTTCTCTTTGCATGTCATTGATTAACTTTGAATTAGCTCAAAACCAGATGTTCTCTTTTTTAAAGCAGGTTCTCAAGTTGGCCAAAACACTGAAACTTTGCTGCCCTCTCATCCTATCTTAAGTATTCCCACTTTCACAGAGAAAAGAACTAAAAAGTATTGATTCTTTCATACAGGAATGTTTCCATGGAATTTTCTATGTGTCTGTTTTAGCAATAAACACACTGATCACTGAAATTCCAAAGTGTAGTTGGAAGATCAGTAGCATCACTGTCATCCAGGAGTTTCTTAGAAATGTTAATTATAACATATAACACACAGACCCAGAGAACTCAAATTTCCATCAGTGTCCCAGGACTCTATTTTGTGACAACCTGTCTGGGTGATGCTTTGGTGAGCCATTAGAGTATGTAAAATCATGCTCTAATGATGATTTTACCAACTATATTTGAAGACATGCTAGAGTCAAAATTATATTAATGCAAATATTAATTACTAACCACATTAGACAAATAAGGCAATCCTGAAAAAATGATAATGGTAAATCTAAACCATTTATAATTCATAAGCAAAATAATACCTGGGCCATTGTCTCCCATATTGGTGCTATTTGGATGTGTTGGAAACTTTAATTGGTGGGGCCTAGTGAGAGGGCTTTAGGTCACTGGGGCATGTCCTGGTTGGGGGTTAATGAAACTCTGGTCCCTTCTTCTCTTTTTGCTTCCAGGCTTTGAGTTGAACCGTTGTGCTCTGCCATACACTCTTCCTATGAGGCACTACCAGAGTCCCCCGAAATTGTGGACTAAGACATCTAAAACTGTGAGCTAAGAAGAATCTCTTCTTCTATAAGTTGATTACTCAGGTATTTGTCATCGTGATTGAAAGCTGACTATCACAAGTGTACCTAGCGGATACACCAATAACAAAATACTCTGCCACAGACAGTAATTCTAGCCAGCTATTTCATGGGCCTGAGCAGCTAGAGATCTACAACATATCCAGGTTTTTTCATACTCTGACTTCTGATAGAATATTAGAATTTTTGGTAGCCTCCAGTAATGAGCTTAGTTTTGCAAATAGCTGCTGTTTTTAATAACCCTTAATGAAAAAATATGGGTTATTAGTAAGATGCAGTCCTTAATTGTTCAAGAAAGTAGAAACCTATGCATATTTTTCAATCATAGCAATTAAAGAATGGATTTGTATTTGAGGATTAATTTAAACCAATATATAACGCTTGCCCAAAAGGTAGCCAACCACTTTGGGAATCACTGCTCTAAAGAGCCAAAAAATCTTTACTTAACAGCCTCTGTATGTGAGTCAAACTGCTGGTAGCAATTAAGGGTTCTCCTATGGAAAACTTCTCTTCTCTCTCTGCCCCCCATTTTGAAGTGCTCATTCTTCCTCCTCCTTCCTCTAGCATCCTGTGAAAACTTTTATAATTTGCGTATTGTGTGGATGAGTAATCTCTTCACATGTATTTTGCACACTATGAGGATCAGGTGATACACAGGTTTCAGAGTCTTTTTTAGCACCTGGCTAAAAAAAGACTTAAATGACACATAATTGAGACTTAAAATTTAAATTAGGGTTTATCACTCTGTTAGTCAAATTAAAGCCTGAAGTCAATTAAAACTGAACTATCACATGATCTACTATAAAATGCTTATCTCTTTTAAATTTATTCCTGTACATTCTTTATCTACTCTAGCCTGTCATGGTCTTCTCGGAGCTTAATTCTGACTAGGTTAAGAAAGGGGTAGTCAAAAAAGTCTATGTTCACATATAACCAGTCATTTTTCATGCCTATCTATTCTTAGCTTTTTTATTTAATTTCACTAAATCTTTATTTTGATCATCATATCTATTCTCAGCTTTATCACACACTTCATATTCAGTAATTTTGAAAGTTATTAACATTTCCCATTTTGAAAACCATGCTTTAAAATGCACCATATGCCACAGCAAATGCTCACTATTAAATTCTTAAAGCTCTTCTGGAAGAAATAAAAATTCCTTTGAACATAAGGGCAAAAGATTTTAAATACACCAGGGCCAAGTAGTTCCCCCACCAGGAAGAAATGGATCATTCTGCCATTGATGTCACACAGTCATGCTTCTGAGGCACTATGCACTTCTAATCAATGCTAAATGTGTTATCAAACAAAATGTCCAAAAGTCTTAAAAGTTAGAAAAAGAACCACTATTTTCTGGTTTCTATACCATATCTGTACCAGCTTCTGTTTTCTATACTATTTCCATAATCAAGACAAGAAGATGCCCAAAAGTATACATATATTAACAATCTGGACAGCAGTATGAACAAAACAGCAAATATCACCAAAGAAAAGGTAAGGAGAAAAGAAATGCCTACTTTATTCCATTTTACAAGTTGCTACTATTTTTAAAATACTCTGAAAATTTAAAAAACAGTTGTGTAGGTAAAATAGTAATAATTGAACTTTTAAAGGCATTGGCTATACCTCTTGTGATTAGTTTTAGCATATATCTTTTCTTCCATCATTTTTAAAAAACATCAATTCAAGTTCAAGTTTGTAAGTTGTGAAAATGAATGTGATTTGGAAAAATGTGTCTATGCAACTAGAGATGTGATCAAACTGTGATCATCAGGAAGGTCACTTTGGACTAAGAAGGTTAGGACTACAGACAAAGCTAGCACACTTTATGATAAAAAAAAGTCAGAGTAGCCCTCTGACCAATTATGCTGATGCCAAACAAGATGCTGCTCTGTGAATAGGTGGCAAAGTGCTTCAGAGCTTTTCCATCAGGGTAGTCAAATGTGGAACTTCACTCATGCACAGAAGATGTTTTTTGTTGTTGTTAAATTAGGACAACAATATTAATTGACCATAAAACAAACAAACAAACAAACAAAAACTAGGCCAAGAGCAGAGTTATTTTTAGATTACTTATTTCAGTTTTTCTTCTTAATGGGCTAGTATACAAAATAGAACAGAAAATGTACCACATGCTATAGCAAATGCTCAAATCCTTACAGCTCTTATGGAAATAGAAGATCTTTATCTTAAAATACAAGTTTTCCATTCAAATGAAATTAAACCCCAAAATATTCTGACATATTTATCAGTTAACTGAAAATAAAAATATCTACATATTATTATTAAAACACAACATTTTATAACTTTTTTTATAACTTTTTTTATAACTTGTTATAAAATGGGGGGTAACAAAAGAGTTAAAATGAGAATGAAGGCATTGGCTAACACTTGTAATTAAAAGTCAATATATAAAGAAAACAACATTTCTAATTCCACAGTGATGAATAGTTCTGAATTTCATAAAGGTACAATTTTTAGATGACTCATCTACTTGCTTTATCATAAAATCAATATAAACTCTCCCAAACGGTCTCAATATTATAAAGAGATAAATTTTCAAAATTTCCTTTTTGGGTGGGAGGGAAGGGGAAGGGGTAGGGGGAAGAAAAGATGGCGGAATTAGATGGGCATCATTACCCTAAGTACATGTAAAGACATGAATGGTGTGAATATACTTTGTATACAACCAGAGATATGAAATATTGTGCTTTATACATGTAATATGAATTGTAATGCATTCTTCTGTCATATATAACAAATTAGAACAAGAAATAAATTTTAAAAACAACTTCCTTTTTTGTTTCAACATGCAACATTCTAATTAAATGACTGTGATTATATTTCAGAAAACTAAATTATTATTTTTATTTGTACTACTAGAACAAATTATAAAGATGAGACAGAATGCATGACATTAAGGATGTATATACACACACAAAACATGATCTTGGAATAAAAAAATTGATTTATAAAAACAAAAATGTGCTTAAATAAATTAATATTGAAAAATACCATTATACAACAAAATATTCACTGTTTTTTGTGATGCCCTGCTTTTCCTGAAGGAAACAAAAATTGTGACAAATCCTTGGTGTCCAATTCACTAGGGCACAATTGGCAATTAAGGTGAGGAATACAGAGTGTTTATTTCCTCAAATTAAAAAAAAAAACACAAGCAAGTAAAATTTCAAAACTTTTGGTATTCTTTTGCACTTTATTAAATTCTAATATTGTATCACATGTTACATGTATAGGCGTATTTTTCCCCTGAGGACAAGGTAGACCAATATCATTAGCTACAGTTCATCATTCTATGTAACCTAGATTTAACAGATGAAAAGAAGCAATATGTAAAATATTTTTAACTTAGATACACATTTATACATAGAAATTAATTTTCAAATAATATTGATCTTCTGAGAAACTCTAATTTCCCAAGAAAAGTTTAACATAAAATCTCAACTTCTAAAATTCTGTGCAAAAGGTTAAATTAATTTTATGTTCTAACATTTGCAAATGCACTTTAGTATTCTGCATTGTTATAGAGTCCTAAACATACTTATTCTAAAATCAATCCTTTACAAATTAATTTGGTTTAACAGTGGGTAAGGACCATAATTTAGGTTGAATATTAGGCTAGATACAAAAATAGTTTCTTGAACTTTAAAGAAATCACAGAATCTTACAAGAAAAAAAAAAGCATTAAGAAAAGTAAGAAGTTAAAACACTGGCTGCTTTTAGGGGAAAATGTACTGGAACTTGAAAAAAAAGGAATGAACATATTTGTACACATTCAGAAATTCAACACCCTTTGTGCTAGACATGGGGCTTGCTTCTGAATAGAATTTCCTTTCTAAATGGTAATTAACACTTTTCAAGTCCACTTATTTTAATGGGACCAGGTCTAAAGGTAACAAACAAAAAAAAAAGAGGCTATATCATGAAAATTAGCATCACAGTGCTAAAATTTTATTAAACATTCAATTATGTTCATACCTAATTTTTCCTTTTTAGTCATGTAAAAAAAGTGTGGCAAGTTGGGGCTGGGGTTATGGCTCAGTGGCAGAGTGCATGCCTCACATGTGAGGTACTGGTTTAATCCTCAGCACCACATAAAAATGAATAAACAAAATAAAGATATTGCATCCATCTATAACTAAAACATATATTTTTTAAAAAGTGTGGCAAGTCTATGGAAAAAACTTAAAAGGAGCAAAATACACTGAAATTATTAGCAGTTTTATTTTTATCTTTCTCTAGTTTCTAAATTCACATTTAAATTACTTAGAACCTATCTTTACTATCTACTTCAGAATTTTACTGAAGATTACCTCTAAGTATGTATGATAGAATCCCAAGATTCTACAGTTAATGAACAGATATTCTGTAGGGCTAGATCAGACCTTGAAGAAAAATAATTTACAGAATTTGTATATTGACTTAAATTCATTCATTCCTCTCAGTTAAAATGAAGCCCTCCCCATGACACAATACCGTATAACAATACCATATAAGAATAGTTACTATCCTCACACAGTAACTACTTTTTAACCATAAGTTTTTTATGGTAGGATCACTAGCATATGCTCCCCATACCAATAAGCTAAAGAATATATATTACTTGTCAAACCTTTCTTCCACAGAGCACATATCTCCTCATAAATTATTTTTTCCAGACAAAAGGGAAGGGAATTACAATTCTTTGACTAAATTATTCAATATATTTTCCTAGCACTGAAGAAGAGGGAAGACATGAGTGTAAAAGTGTCTTTAAAATGTTGTTCCTTAGTGCTTCCTTTCTGTCGGAAAGATGTAAGAAAGATTCTAATTTTTCAACCTAACTTCCCTAGTGTGAATGTTTAAAGTGGTGGACAGCACACATAGGATAGTGTATTAATGACAACAGGGGAACTCTGTGAAGAGCTCACACCATAGAATAAAATGGTCTGGGCCATTTAGACAGAAAGGAGAAGATTGCAATTTCAGTAGAAACTGAAAATTAATTAGCCTTACTTATATATTAAAAAAGAAGAAGATCACTTTATATCAGAGCCAGAAAAATTGGCATCCCAAATTTACAATGTAGCCAAGTTAAGAGTAAAATTCCCACCTTAGTTTCTTACAGGCCTCTGTAGAGGTCCTCAGAAGAGAATCTTGATAGAAATTACCAAAGATATGGACTTAAAAGATGTGAAATCATTCCATCCAAAGCCATTAATGGAAGGCAGCAAAAGTACTAACAGGAGTCAAAATGATATCCAGGAAGGAGGAATCTTACATTTATTATATAAAACTGATTATAAAACATATTGCTCCAGGAAATATAATTTTATTGTAATGACTCGGTTATTAATCTAAAAGCATCATATTGAAAAGCAAATTGAGATCTACAACTTTTGATAAAACATAAAAGAAAATGCTGCAAAGCTAAAACAAAATCTTAAAATGAAATGGGGTGATATCTAGTTTTGCCACATCTAATAGCTTCAGAGAACTTCATAAAAAAACACTTGTACCTTCACTTGTAAATACCACAAACAAAATTAAAAACTAACTTTTAAGTTTCATGTTTCAAGTTTCCAAGGAGATACTGGTTCAGGCAGAGACAACATTTGACTTCTGAACATATCCACAAAGTCAGATTTTCCGCCTAAGAATATTCCTGGATCAGTTGTTCGTAACATAACTACCTAACCAAAGAGAGCAAGAAATGAGGAACATGATATATGAGCTTCAGGTAAAATGCATATTTCCCTTTACTTCCAGCTTGTCAGAATTTACAGGGTCAGATATGAAGATGCTCTTAGCAAAATGGGTTGCTCCATCCTAGAGTACCAACCAAGGCAGTCTAATTTTTAAGATGAAAAACATATAAAACAAAGCCAAGACACAAATAAAAACATCTCCACAGGAAAAAAAAGGGGGGGTTAAGCTGGAAAAAAGAAAGCCAAAATATCCATAGTTAAACTGAATTGTGGGCATCTATTCGTTAGCAGGTACTATGTGGGATGTTTGCAAATATTCTTTTTTGTTGTCATTGTTCTTGATAAACTTTTATTTTATGCATTTATTTATATGCAGTACTGAGGATCAAACCAGTGTCTCACACATGCTAGGCAAGTACTCTACCAAGGAGCTACAACTCCAGCCAATATTCTTTTTAAGTCATACAAAAATGCAGATATTTTCATCTATATTTTACTGATGAGAAAAGTAGGTTAAGAAATCAAATAAGGCACCCTAGGTCATGCAGCCAAGATGTGACTTACTCAGGATTCACTCTCCATCCATCAGGTGCCAAGCCTCTTTCCACACTGTCAAGTCCACATCTCCATTAACTAATATCGCTGCTTGGCTTCTACCTGTGGACCAACACTGCAAAGAACTGCAAAAGAAAAAGAATAAATTGTCTTTTCACCCCAGGCAGTTAATACCTAAGAGGCATTCAGAAGAGTCAGATGCCCAGTTCACCAGGAGCAGTGTGGTACATCAGAAAACCACTGGCTAGAAAGAGGAATAACTCACTTACTCTGGGTTTTGTATTTATTAGTCATAAATAACAATTTTATTATTTTCATTCTCTCTTTCATTATCTTATTCTAAAGAATCTAATTGTAATCCTTTATGTTATTTGGTCCCTACACATAAAATCAAAGATTTCTATTACCTGTAGAGACAGAAATTTTCTATTACCCGTAGAGACACAGGGCAAAACATGAGAATCAGCATTTTGTGTTTTCTCAAATTAGTCTTACAAATAGCAAAATTATCAGAGTGAATTTTTCACATATTTAAATTTTATTCAAGATATTTTCTCAATAGCATCATCTTTAACATTTTATAAAATTACCAAGTTAAAACATATTAGTGCTCTTTATTCCAATAAGTGCTTTTATTTTCTAGCAGTAACACATAATTCATTCAATCAATAGTATGTTTACCTTGGTGTGTCATACTTTACATAGATATTATTCATGGGTGAGTGGAACTGCTGCATCAAAGTACACACTAAGTTTCTGGATATGGTGGGATACACCTGTATTCCCAGCAGCTGGGAAGGCTGAGCAGGAGGATCCCAAGTTCGAAGCCAGCTTCAGCAAATTACCAAGGCCCTAAGTAACTTAGAAGGACCCTTACTAAATAACTAAATAAATAAATACACTCACAAAAAGGGCTGTGAATATGGCTCAGTGGTTAAGCACCCCTGGGTTCAATCTCTGGTACCAAAAAAGAAAAAAACATACTAAATTTACTTTGACTATTGAACATTGAAATTTAAGAACTATCAAAGTGACTAAGTTTTCTTGTTGGAAAATGTGATTAAAACAAGAATATGGTGTAGTTCTTTATGGAAAAAAGTCTACAAAATGTACATATTAATAGCTTTTCAATTAAATTTTTCTTAAATTTGAATCACATCTGCCATCAAACAGTATTTTCACCTCTACTTGTATTTCTTCATCCTCCATTAACATTTTTTCATAAAACTCAAAGAGAACTTCACTCTGAGGAAAACTGTAAGAGTTCAATAGCCATAAGTGGCTTAGCAGCCCTCATACCTGAGTAAATTAGTTCTTCTTCACTTTTTGTTATTTAGATCATACAAATATTGAAATTAATGTAATAAAACATCAGTCTTGTCTGTATTTCCTCAGACAGCCAAGTCCTGACTCATAAGTACTTCATTTCTTGTTGTCTTAACTATAAAAGAGAGTAGAACGTATTTTTCCTAAATCCTTTATTGAAAAATCTTTCTCTTCTGAAAGCCTTCTGACTATGACATTGGTAAAGTACTATGTATAAGATTATAAAAAGAACTTTCATTCAACAGAGCAGCAACCACCTGAGCCAATGAACCAAAACTTTAAAGATTCAGAAATAAAAAAATCATATATTTCAGAAACATTTCATATTTTCTGAAGTTATTTCAGAAATAAGACCAAAATTATAAAATAGAAGCACGTCCTCTGAGCCTTAAAATGATAATGGCATTCACATTTTAAAGACATTTTATTTAGTCAAAGAAAACTCAAAATGAATTCAAAGGGGAAAATATGGGCTGGGTATTATGGGTTAGTTAAAAATCAAAAATCACAAATTGCTTATTCAAGATATTGAATATGGCAACAGAAATGATTAAAAATGCAAGGGAAAAAAGAAATTATGTTCAATTTACAGCTCTCATAACAAAATATACTGTCAAAAAAAGAGAGAGATGTGTTTTGAAGAAGAAAAAGGGAGGAGTGTATGTGTGGGTGTCCCACAGTTGATTCCCTGGCTGGGGGTTGTGGCTTTGCCCATAGCAAAGAAGAAAGAACATCAGGGAAAATAACTGTACTCTCATTCTTAGTTTTTTCATCCATCTCCCCCATCTCCTCCAGCTAACACTGTGTAATCTACAAAGTATACATCAAACATAAGAACAGAAACATTCCCCCAGAAAGACTCTATAAAGTGGGTTTTGCTCTTTCAAAAAATATAAGAAATACCATAATCCATAAATGGATAAAACAAAAAACTACCTAAAGAGCCACTCTAAGTAAATACAGTTCAAAATACTTCTAACCCAAAGGCACACAATCAAACCAAGTAAAAGAGCCTTGCTGACTGGTTGAGAGAGAGCCCTGTTGTGCTCAGCTTTCAGATGTCCCTTTCCAGCCAGGTGATCACTCATCTCCTTGCACCTAGGCCATAAGAAATAATAATAGTCATAAATAATAATTTTATTATTTTCAATCTCTCTCATTGCCTTAATCTAAAGAATCTAATTGTAATCTCTGCTTTATGTAATTTGGTCCCTTCACATAAATTCAAAGATTTCTATTACCTATAGAGACAGAAATATTCTATTACCTGTAGAAACACAGGGCAAGACATGAGAATCAGCATTTTGTGTTTTCCCAAATTAGTCTTACAAATAGCAAAGTTATCAGAGTGAATTTTTCACTTACAGCAAGCAATAAAATGCTCTCAGGTGTGCTAAAGCTTTCTCTCATAATAAAATTGCTTCTGTACTCTGCATTTTGTGATGCTTCATTACTCTTCTACCTATCTAGGGATATTCCTGACTTGTATGCATGTGTGGGTGTGGTTCTGAGTTCTAACCCAGGATCTCATGCATACTAGGTAAGCGTCTTACCTCTAAGTCAGCCACAAAACCAGCCCTTGTACTATTTTTGCATGTATCTTTTTGAATACAAAGCCCTGGAATACAGAGACATTGTCTCCTTCTGGAACAAGGGCCAGTCCATTATAAAAGATGATATTTTCTAAATTGGAGGTTTCTCATTTTAGATCAACCCAAACTACTCTGCAGAGCCCCTGAGGGACTTGGGAGTCAAGGGAACAAAACTCAACATGAAGCTCATGCTATCTGCTGTACAGTGAGTAATAAGATCTTCTGCTTCTGACCCAGGGATCTTATGTCTTCTACAAACAGCAATAAAACAGTGACTGTCTAGTTTATTAGCTTGCAAGTACTATAAAATGCCAGGACTTTTACAATTCTTGAAAATATGTAACTCAGCTTAGTCATTTGTAAAATGGAAATAAAACCTCCTTATAAAAGTATTATGAGGATGGGCTGGGGTTGTGGCTCAGTGGATGAGTGCTTGCCTAGCACATGTGAGGCACTGGGTTCAATCCTCAGCAACACATAAACATAAAATAGAGATATTGTGTCCACCTACAACTAAAAAATAAATATTTTTAAAACAGCATTATGAGGATTAAATTAATTAATACATACAAAGTTACTTAGAAAAGTGCCTACATTAAAAATATCTGGTAAATGTTATTATAATGATGATTATGATAAGTTTCAAATATATATCACTAGCTAAAAAGTCACATCCAAAGGACTAATGACAAGCTAAGGAATCTACCTCTTCTAGGAATAGAACAGGCTCTATTCTTAAAAATGTTCTGTTCAATATTTTTTTAAAAGTTGAATAGACTCTAAAATGTATTAACAAAAATTATGGATGACAAAAATACTAACAGATAAAACAAGCAGAATTTATTAAAAGTTGACATGCTCAATAACTGACCTAAAAATACACAAATTTAACCAAGGTACAAATCTTATTTCAAAAATCAACTATTTTAATAGACATTGATTGCAACTTATATGAAATAAATTACAGTTCTATTAACAATGTAACATGCCTAAAAATTAATTTCCTACCACATATTGGTCAGCTCACATCTACTGTATGTTTTTAACTCCAAATACATCATTTTAAAGAGAAACTTCAGCAAATATTAATATTAAGGCAAATCAGATTATTTTTAGTATATAAAGAATAGAAAAATTGGACTTCTTTCAATTGAGACAAAATGTATTGGTAATAATAACTTTTCAAACATCTTTTAAAGGTAAAATATGTTATGCAAGTATATGGCATAAAATTTGGTTCACAGATTTCAATTAATTCCAACTCAATGTAAGAAAGAATGTTCTATTAATTTTTTTCCAATGTTGGATATTATTCCATTCTGTATATATACCATATTTTCTTTATCCAGTCATCTGTTGAAGGGCACCTAGGTTAGTTCCATAGCTTAGCTGTTTTGAACTGAGCTGCTGTAAACGTTGATATGGCTGCATCACTATAGTATGCTGATTTTATTTCCTTTGAATATATACTGAGGAGTGGGACAACTGGGTCAAATACTAGTTCCATTCATAGTTTTTTTGATTTCTCAAAAACAATGGTTGCACCAACTTGTAGTCCCACCAGCAATGTGTGAGTGTACACTTTTCCCCACATCCTAAGCAACATTTATTGTTCCTTGAATTCTTTTGTATTTTTATTTCATTAGTTATACATGACATTATATAGAATACATTTATGCACTTTGACATATCATACATAGATGGGGTATAATTTCTTATTTTTCTGATTGTACACGTTGTATAATCACAACAGTCATACAGTTATATATGTATAGAAGGTAATAATATCTGTTTCATTCTACTTCCTATCCCCATATTTCCTCCCCTTCTCTCCCTTCCCTCCCCTCTACCTAATCTCAAATGACTCTATTCTTCCATTATTGTGAATTAGCAACTGCATATAAGAGAAAACATTTAGCTTTTGGTTTTGTGATTGTCTTATTTTGCTTACCATGATATTCTCCAACTCCATTCATTTATAAGAAAATGCCATAATTTTATTCTTTCATACTTTTCATACTTCCACAATTTTCTCCAGTGAAGTTTACTACTTACTATATGAAAAAACAATGTAGTATAGAATTTTTTCAAAGTAAATGTTTGAAAAGACAGTGACCCATGTGTATTTTAAAATTAAACTGATAAAAATCCCTAATAAAACTGGACTTACTTCAAGCATAGTACATAAATTAAATGAAATTTTATTTCATCTTCTAGTTTTAATTTTATTTACTGAAAAGAGTAGTAGTATACACTCTATAATATTTGCAGCATTGCTACATGTGAGAAACACATTCATGAATCAGTAGTACATCTGAACATCATTTACAACATTGTTTCTCAGAAAAATGTGTTCCAACTATTAGACAACCCACTTGACATATAATCCTTTTTGACTTGGCAACTTTCTATATATGCCTATTTTAAAAATTATATAGGAGAAATACCTTTTAAGCTTTCATTACTTTGAACAGGATCACTGTTAAAGTATTTTCAGTCTTGTTAAAGGTAAATAAATTTTTAAAAAATTTGTGAACTGAGAAAGTAAATCAAGATTCTCACTTCATATTAATCATAAGAAATAACCACTATCTTTTGAGGTTTTCCTAATTAGGTTATGGCATAGCTACATTATTTAAAAAGAGAAGGTGAAAGCAAGCTCTAAAGGAGTTTAGCAAAAATTGTCAAATCAATAAAAATGTTTTTATCAAACTAAAACAAACATGGTAAGAAAAGTAAGTTGTCTAATCTATTAGTAATTATGTTTTCTATCTTCATATTATTAAAAATACAATAATTTTATGCCCTGTTCATTTATTGAAATGTTTAAATCATGAAAAGTCATAGAAAGTCATTTCTGGATGCTAATAATATTGATTATATAATCCATTTTAGTAATATTTAGATCATCTTGTAGATACAAACAAGTGGATAAAATCAAGTATTATATAAAATAATTTTATAAGTAATATGCACCATAAATCTACTAAATATTTGATATTTTGATAATATTCTTAGCGTAACTATGAACAGCAAGTGTTCTGCTGAATTTCAGAAGACTATTAGAAAGAATATTATCAGAGGATTCATGATTATAAGTAAATGTGGTTTCTCTGGTCAGAATATATAATACGTATTAGATTCATAAATTTCTGCTAAAATAAGATTTTTTTTTATTATCCAAAAATTCTCACATTTTCAGACTTATTTTTGAATTTAAAAAAATCTTTGTATTATTTCTATGATCCTTTATCCATTATGTGGTTCATTCATCTTCTATAACAATTCTCTTTTCTATCTCCTCACTAAATTCTGTGATTTGGGATGAAAGACAAGGATGTTTGAATTATTATTAAAAGAAAGAAATGCATAATATTTTAACTCATTGCATAAAAGTCATTGAGACTTGTATTTTTTTCAAATAAGTAGGTCATTAAGGAACATAAATCATAAAGTATCTTTGCAAGAAACAAATGGATATATGTTAAGCAAAAATCCATGTTCATTATTCTATGAACCCATATGCAATCAAGTTCAGGTAATCTATTTTTAGATAAAAGATGTGAAAACTTATATTTGGAATAATAACTTTAGGGAAAGGACACTCAAAAAATAAACCACCAAAGGAAATTTGCCCTTTGAAATATAGTTAGTAGGATGAGTTCTACCTTGAAGATTTTCTCAGGGAAATGTAGTGAGCAAATGTAAGACTTTCAAAGAAAAGAAAAGCTCATACAGTTCTTTGTGAGAATTAGACAAACTGAGGTCATAAAATAGAGACCCTTTTGTTTCCTGAGTTCAATTCAATTATGTTCATTTGGGCAAATATTTATTGAGTCCATGTTATTTGTCTGTCAATATTTAATATCTTAAAATCATAATTTTGGGGTTGGATGGGGTCTTAGCAGTCAAGTAATTCAATATTCTTCCCAAGTAAGGATTAGTATGGATTTTTATTATCAAGTGATATATCTTGAGTCTTCTCATTAACAGTAGTCAGGAACCAGAGTCTGGTTATGGCTGGCTACCCACACTCCATAATTTTTGCCTTTCAAAGTGAATGTCCTTAGAGTTTTTCTTGATGGCATGCTGAGCAGTTTACCTCTAGAAATGCATTAGCCTAACTGGATAGCCTTACTTCTTGAGAGATTGCTTTTCCTGCTTCAACTTCCCCAAGCAAACCTGAACTCTCCCTTGTCTACTGTTACTTCTTCCCAAATATTTACCATGGAGCTATCTCTCAATCCTTCCAGAACAGGGTCTGGATGACTTCTCTTAGATAACTGAGCTTTCCCATCACCTGCTCATTATTGTCTATGGATAAAGCAGGGGATTCTTACCTTACTCTGCCTATCTGAAGACATTCCTTAGTTCTACCATAAGGTCATCAAGGACATGATGCTTTAGATGGATCCATCCACTGTAGAGTGCTAACAGCTGGGAAAGAATATTCCTAATGAGTACACTTCTCCAAGCAGGCATGTTGGTCTTGTGTGCTTCTGCAGCAGAACCTCTGAAAAGGCATCCTTAGAACATCCTGGAATGCAGAGATGTAGATGCTTAAGTCTCCTTTGCAGTAGATCTTTAAGTTCCTATTGTGCTTGCCCTATAAGCAATGCCAGCTTCTTGGGCACTCACCAGAAAGAGGAGATAATCTTGAAATCAACATAAAGAATCATCAGGTACATTTATGTTGCGTACACAATTTGGTCTTTAAACATAAAATGAGGTCTAAAAGGCTTGTAGAAAATGAATCTGTGTTGCGATTTGGTGAAGCAGGCTCAGTTAAAAGAATTTTATTACAACATATCTTTACCATTTGTAGGCATTAATAAAGCAGGGGTCACCATTACTTTGCCAACAATAGGCATAGATTTCTAAAATATAATCAGAAAATTAAATAAGAAGAAGGAAGATTAAAATATTAGCTAGAAATGTCATCTATTAATTATTTGAATAATGATAGTAGAGACAAAAGCAAATTTGCAATGAAAAACTGGTTCATTTCATTTATACAGATTTGTGATTACTCTATAATTCATAAAAAAAGATTTAATGAGAGAATTATTAATACAAATGGATATTTGGGGTTTGCAATTGTGGCTCAGTGGTAGAGCGCTTGCCTAACATGTGTGATGTACTGGGTTCAATCCTCAGCACCACATAAAAATAGATAAATAAAATAATGTTATTATTTTAAAAAAATAAGTTAAAAATGTATATTTGTATATATCAGTAAGTGAATGGCTAGAAAAATTGTGGTACATCATACCATGGAGTACAACTCAGTAATAAAGAGGAATGGACTACTGGTATACACAATAACTGGGATGAAATAAGGACATTCTGTTAAAAAGTGACAGAAGCCAATCTCAAAAGGTCATAGAGTTTATGATCCCATTTATATGGCATCCCCAAAATAACCAAATTATTGGGATGGGAAGAATTTCATGTCTTTCATGAATTAGCGTACAAGGATGAGGTAACTGCTTCTAACTATAAAGAGATTATGAATTTTAAAAAAACTCTTATAAAGAAATTCTGTACCATGAAGGGACAAATAGTCTTGATTTTTTTCTTCCAAAATATTGTTACTGTTTGCTCTTTTCTGAATATAAAATTAATACATGATCACTGAAAAAGTTATATACTTAAGACATAAAGAAGGAAGTATAAAATAACCATAACCCTACCACAAAGAAATTATAATTTCTTCTAGTATTTGCAGTTGTTGTTTGTTTTGCAGTACTGGGGGTTGAACCCAGGGGCTGTTACCAAAGAGCTACACCCCAAACCACCATTCCCCCATTTTATAATTTGAGACAAGTTCTCACTATTGCCCAGGCTGGCATTGAAATTTGGATCCTTCTGCCTTAGTATCCCAATTAGCTAGGTAGATTTTTGTTTATACAACACATATGCACACACATACATATGCACATAAACTTATAGTACCATTAATTTATGTTTTTTTCCTTTAAATGTGCCATGAATATTGTTGTATATAAATATAGAGCTACAGTGAATTGAAGATTACAAAGTATGACAAAATTGTATGAGTGAACCACAATTTAATCAATCAATGATAATACATCAGTTTCTGATAAGATGCATTAAAATTTCTGTAATAATTATAAATTTGTCAATTTGATCTTATTACATTTTTATTGCTAAATATCTTTTAAGCATCTGACATTAATTGAAATCATTCATGATTTCTTTTATCTTCTTGAAGTGGTATTTCTTTTATAACTATGAAGTATCCACTTCATCCTCATTAATGATTGAAATTTTCTTTGGAGTATGGTTTTAGCAGTTTCTACAAATATTTGGATATGCTATATTTTTTGTACAATTCTATGAACATTTTAATTTTTCTTGCAAGTTTTTAAACCCTAAAGCTCTTTAGTATAGGTTATTTTGTTTCCAGATATGTGGGATTTATATAACCTTCCTTTCGTTCTGGTAATTTTATCACAGTTGGCTGCAGAACATAGTTTATATGACATTTATTGTTGCAACATAATATTAATTATCTTATGGCCTAGTATATGAACAATCTTTCAAAAAAGTTTCACAGAAAAATCAAAACAAAAGTTGCTTATGGAGTTTTATATGTCTACTATTTTGATCATGTTACTTGTATTTTTCAGATATTCTGAATCATTGCTTTCTTTGTGTTTTCTCAATTTAGCTGCTTTAAAAAGTTTTTAGTAAATTATCCTACTACAATTATTGATTGTTTCTCCCCCCCCATTCAGGTCCAACTTTTGCATATATGCGCCTGGACTTACCATGTTGGGTAGGATGTCCTCTTAAACCCACTCTACAGTGACAATACCCTGAAAATTCTTTTAATACTCCTTACCTACCAAATGACTTAGCAGTCCAGTTACTGTTGGGTATCAGTTGTGATGGCAGGCTGTTCACTGCTACACCCCTGGGCATCACATTAGAGTATGGTATAGAGCATGGTACCACACAATGCTAACCAGTGAAAAGATTAAAGTTCAAAACTGCAACTATGGATTCTACTGACAGTGTATTGTCTTCATACCATCAAAAAGTCAAAAAATCATGTTTCACAAGCACCTTCTGTATATTTTATCAAGTTATATTTTTTATACATGTTATTAAAACATTCTTGCTCTTCTATTACTTTTATAAAAACTGCCTATTTTCTAAAATCTGTTTTTTATTTTTTAAAAATGGTGATGTTGGGGACTTGACAGTCTAATGTCACCTTGCTGTCATTTAAAAGTCAAGAAGTGGACCTGGGTGGGACCATCTGGAAATTTCTTTGGGATCCCCAATACTGGATTGAAAAAAAGGCACAATGTCCCTCTCCTCTCAGAGATGACCCACTCTGTCCCTTGAGTATATCCCTTTTCTCTTCTCCCCTTCTAATAAACTCATTCCTGTTACTCTGAAAAAAAAAATGATGCTGTCAGTGTCTTTAGCATTCTATTTACTTATCTCATTTCTGTTATATAGTCTTGAAAAATTTTATCTTTATTATAGATAAGCGGATTTGTGTCTTTTTTGTTAATTTCCAATATGCTATTCCTCTTCTCTAGTGTCTATCTTTTCACTCTTAGTTGGTTTCTAAAACTCAAAAGGGTCCTCTACCATGTTTGTGAGCTGGAAGAAGAAGCCCGTGGAAACCTTGGGGTCCTCAGGCTTCATTTTGCAAAGGTGGGAAGTGCCAAGGTCTAAGGACAGGTTCTCACTCTCAGCTTGAGCCAGTGTGATGGGAGGCAGTCCTTGCTATAGACTGGGTCCCTCCTCTCCCTCACCCAGCCCTACTAGCACCTTAGAAGGAGCAGGGACAAGAACAGGTCAAGCTGCCCAAGGCAGGGTCCCTGAGAATGTCTGCCAGGAAACATATGGTGGCCTCATTTAGAAGCCTCAAAAACTCCCATTGCCAGATTTTAACTTATTGGCATTTTATGTTCTATAACCTGAGATTTATAAGTTTATTTTTGTACTATATGAAAATATATTACCAGATTACATGTAAACTATTGAATATTTTACTTATTGTCTTGATTTTTCAAAGTTTGTGGCTATTGTTTCACAAGCACATTCATTTTTAAATGCCTTGACTTATTTCCTACTATTATTCAGAATTTCTTCTCCTTCTATCTTTGTCTTAACTTTTATCCTTAATGTTTCATTCCTTTTAGTCATTTTGAATTTTTAAAGCTAGAACCCTCTCTTTAGCCACATTTTTTTTGTAATCTACTTTTAAATTTTCCCCTACCTTGGTATTTTTTCATGCATATAAATTACTTTATTTTGTAAAATTTCCTTTGTATATCTTGTATTTTTTAATCTATTTTGTTGCTGTTGTTCCTTTTAACTTCTTAGTTTGGAGACATATCTGATTTATTTTTAAACAGTGGCTCCTAAGTGACAGGCATGATGTGTGTACCACTGGTAAGAAAGCTGGGGAGGGCGTGCAGACTTAGAGATGAAATCAGTCATCAGGGCTACCATAGCTCCAGGAGCTGACTGCTCTCTGGATTCTTCCCTTATCTTCTTTGACAAAAAATCAGCCAAGGCTGACCAGTCTCATAGTGTCTGCTGAAGTTAGCCTGAAAAATGCCTTGTCTCCTGCTCCAATCTGGTAGTGCATGAAGCCTGAAGGAAAATACCCATTGGATTCCAGGGGGTGCTGAGGGGACTGGGGAAAGTGAGGATTTTCAGAGAGCATCCGGGGGTGAGGAGAAGGAAATCTGCAGGGTATGAATGCTCCCATGCATAGCTGTGAGGAGGGCCCACAGTGACTTGCAGAGGCCACACAAATACTTCACAGGGCCCAGGATGGAATTGAGAGGGGGAGGCTCTTCTAGCAGCAACTTCCATGCAGTGCGTCAGACTTACTTTTAGAAGGAAGTTGTCTTCTGAGAAGATACATGGAAAGGAGGTACACAGAGGGTACAGAGGCAGGGCCCAGCAGCCTTTTCTACTGTCAATAGAGATTTCTCTATTCTCCTTGCAGAGCCAGTAGAGGATTCTCCTAGGGAGGTGTCTTAGAAGGAGGGCAACAGGAAGCCTTTGGGGCTCTCCTTCTTTCTTGAGCATTCACACAAAAACCAGAGCCCCTTGTAAGAAAGAGTCCCATTGCATCTCCATTGATAAGTGTTGCCTCTTGTCTAGTAGTGCATTTAATTGTTTTTGTTAAGCCCCATCATATGCACATTTGGCTTAAGTGAATTCAACTGTAGGTGCTCAAAGACAACTTGAGATTAAAAAAAAAAAAACAATGTATACAAAGTGTGTGATTCTGCCAGCCATTCCACAGTAAACATATGCCCAGGATGGTGAATCTGCCAATGTTTGCACCCAGTTCTGAGCTTGTCCAAATGGGGAGCATCCTGCACACCAGTGTTTAAAACTATAATACATCTTCTTTGTACAATATGTCCTCAAAATGCAAGCCAACCTGAGTGTTTCCTCTGGTGCTCAGGTACAGAGACAACCATCTGGACCAATGCTGCAGGAAAACTGGCTGTGCTGTGCTGTGCTGAGCTG